TAGCAACTTGCTCGCTGCCTGGACTGAACTAACTCACGTCTGCCCACAGGGTTCTGGGTGGCCATAGAATGTACACTGAGCTTCAGTTAACCTCTCACTTCTGTATGGGAATCCTGCAAGAAACTATTCATTACAACTACCCACACATACCACACCCTGCTTCTTTACAGACACCTATCCATTAACAAAAATAACAATAAAAAAGCCCCCTAGGGAAATACACTTCTGAGAACCTGTTTTGCTAACATGCTGTCACTGTGAGACATACATAATTAACAAAAGCTATGCCACAGCAACTTTTTTTTTACTATTATATATTCTGTCAGAGACAAAATCTTATTTATGAAGGTAGGTATTTAGAAAAACAGACATTAATTGTGTAGTTGATGATTGCAAGCTAATGCCTTTTCCTAGGCAGCTGTCAGTCTGTACCCTGGCAATCTCTTTTATAGCTGTCTCACATTGCTTTTGGAACAGTAAGTATCATTAGCAGAAAGAGAGATGGAAGTCACTACAGCTGCTGTGTGTCTGACTTTTTTCTTTTTCTTTTTTCTTTTTTTTTTTTAAGATGCAACACATTCTCTTAAAGCTTCTGCCTACTGAGCTAGGTCAGTCATCAGTAAAAAAGAGAAAAAAGTGAAGCAATGTATTTTTCAAACTCCAATTGTAAGTAAAATTTGGGTCTTCCCTGTGATTTTTACTTTGAATTGGCATACCATGCTTGTGCTTCCATGTTAGTAATTACTAAAATTGCAGATGGTTCTTCAACTCCTTTTGGTCATTTTTGTTGGGTTGGTTTGTTTGATTGTCTGTTTTTCTGTTTCACAGTATGAGAACTGAACATTTTTGTACTGAAATAAGATTGCTGGATTATATAACGTTACCAGTGTTGTCATACAGAGGAACTGGAAAGTCCCAAAGCCAGTGCTTACAAAAGAGAGTACAATTATGTTCTTAATTGAAGACACAGACTCAAAAAATGACTGTAGGTTTCGTTAGGCAGGAAACAGTCACGGAGGCTTGAACTTTAAATTGAAATTAGCTGAACTTTCAGTCTGACTGGAAAGATTCTCCAAGGAAAACCCCTCTTTCTCTCAGTTGCCATTTCACATTACCGCCTGCAAACTCATTCATATGATGAGCTGCTCTGCCGTCCCTTGGGCAGGGGCAGCTCCAGCAGCGGCGGCAAGGGAGGAAAGTCACAGCCAGCTGCTACTGATATTACTGCTGATGAACCGTGGGGAGGCTTGTGATTGAGCAGGGAGGAAACAGATAAACAGTCAGGACTGACACAATCCTCTCTGCTACCACTATTGGCAGCACCCATAATGGTCACTGATAATTACAGCGTCTGATAGCTTTGAAATTATTATTACCTCTCTGGGAGCGAGAGACAACTGTGTGTTAACAGCTGAGGGACTTCTGGTCTAGTCTGGAAAATGACTAGCAGCTACACCAAACTGGCTTCACGCCTACAATGATCGATAACCCATTGAGAATGGTCCAAACCACCAGGTATATCACAAAGAAACCCTGACAGGTAAAGGTAAACAGCAAAATAGACTGCGGATGTTTTACATGGTAGCAACTTGGAAGTTTGAACTTCTCTAGTTTAAGAATTCAATTTAATGCTGAAAAATTAAATCTGATAAGCATGCTCTCAGATACCAGCTGATGCTAAAATATGATGTGTTTTGAACACCATTAATTGTTCCAGTACAATGTTTTATTGTTTTCAAAGTAGGCAAGATTACTGTGGTGGATCATGTTTGTTTCAGGATTATCCTCTCTGTGAAGTTATATTTCACAGGCAACTATGTACATTTAGCCTTGGTCCTGGAAAAAGCAGGAGAATTTGCTGAACTCTTTCCCTTGCTCTCTCACATAGCATTTTCTTGGGAAAAAAAAAAGACCAAAACCAAACAATGATTTACCAATAACAGAATACATGTCATATCGTCTTCTATTTCTCAGCTGTATTTTCAAACATTTTTCCCTTCATTCTTGAACAGAAATATGAGGCAAGAAGACCAGAAAGCAGATAGAGAAGCCTTTTTACAGCATCTTTGGAATTCCAAAAAACTTTTAAATTCTTGGACTGATTAATTCTCTCCTTAAAAGCTCTACATTTTTTTTTCTCTGCTTTGCTACAGCGCATTTTACTACCAGTCAACTACATTCAGAACTAAAATTATCACATCTTTTCAACAAGTATTTTAGCAGTAATGAGCTCATGGTGTTTATCCGTCTATCATCATCTCATCCTGCTGGCACATTCTTGATACAGTAGAACCTCATGCATGTATAGGTGACAAATGAATAACTGCAATATTCATACTGTCTTCAACTCAGGTCTATAAAAGTCATGGGAACTGTTCTGAAAAGAAAGATATACCACGTAAGGATGAACATTTTGTTTAACCTTGGCTAGAGCTACTAGTGGTTTTAAAAGCATTTACTTAGAAAAGTTCTTCCTCAATGCCATGATGCTATCTGTCCTCATAAGGCCTTTCTCTGACTTCCTGTTCTCAAGGTAATGGCTCTTCATTGTGGTGAAGAACACCAGTAACTAAAGAATCATCAAACATTTCTCCAAAGACTGCAAGACAATCCTCTGCCATAGTTTGTTGGCTCTGTGTGTGAGGTTATTTCAAGGAGAGCCATATAACCCTTCCACTAAACAATTATGGAAAGTTCAAGTGAATGGTAATAAAGTCTAGTTACTTTGTAGCTTTGGGAAAATAGCCAAGATACACACTGTAAGGACTGAGTGAAAATAAACTAGCACAAAGAGCTTCTTCAAACTGCTTTATTTAAAAATTTGCAGGACAGATACATAAACCAGGAGGCAGGCAGGTCTCCTCCTTTGTGACTGACTGACAGCTATAGCAGCCCTACCTCAGAGTCTTACCTTGTAATGGGACTCTGGACAACCTCTCCAGTGCTAACAACTAAGCTCCTCCCTCCCAGTGGTAGACTCATTCTCCTTCTTTTCCATTTCATCTTTACTACTACTTCCATTCCAGTTTCTTCCAGTTTGGTGGTCAAAATTCTAGGATTTGCTTTATGTTAATCAAGGAACATTTTGGGAGAAACATTTTTACAAATATGTAGTACTCACTGGAGAAAATGAGCCCCACAAACATTCACCAAGATGTCAGCATCCGTATCCTCCTGGATTCAGACTTCTTAGACAACAAAAGTCATGCCAACACCAAGACTACACCTGGCTCATGTATCAGTGACAGTATGGTCACAGCAGCACAGAACTCAGGATGAATAAGTTTTTCAGCTTTCTCTGTATCTGATTTTTCCTCCTGTAATCATGTTAGCAGTAATACCAGGTCCTCTTTAATTTCATGAAGTTCTGTACTAAAAGAATCAAAATTCCAATTCAGGAGTTTCCCAACAGCAGTGACCATTAGTCTGTGATACACAGTAAAATCACTGGCTTAAAAAAGAAAACACCACCATCAACTGCTGTTTTGAAGTCCTTACTGACTGCAAAGTCATGCTGGAATGTAACTCATACCAACTGAAATATATTGTAGCTATAGTCTAATACTTTACTGAGCCATTAAAGAAACATATACCCCACAGGGGTTTAGGTTTTGTTTGACATACTTTTTCTAACTATGCTGAAGACTAGATTATGGGGCTTTCTGTTATGCCTCACTGTAAAAGCGCATTACTCCCAGAGTCAGTGCAGACCCTGATTCTTTAGGACATTCCAGGCAGCATGTAAATTAACAATCTGTTGAGCAGTTGGTAAACAAATAATTAAAATACTTATATAGTGCACAGACTTGGACCAAGCCAAGGTTTTTAACACATCTCTGACATACTTTATTTGTCTACAGTAGTCCTGTCCTTGCTCTTAAGGCGTTGTCCATATACCTGATCTTAGCAAGAACATTTTGGTACAACAGACACACACTTTTAGAATGAAAAGCAATGAGGGTGCTTCAGCTATCACAGATGCAGTGGGAACTTGTTCACTCTGACACACCCATTCACAGCTCGCCAGTGCTGCAACCATTATAGAAGTATCCACTGCTGCTCAAACAAATTAGATATATATTTACCATACACAGACATAGCCCTTGGGTGACAATGGACATGAAAAATGTATTTTTTTAAACTCCTGGAATTGACGAGTAGAAAAATAATGTAGAAGTGCAATTGTTATCCCTAACCACAAAATGCCTTGAGGCACTTACAGTCACAGTGAGAGTCTGTTAGAAGTATGGTCATTTCCCTAAAACATGTCCTTTTGGACATAGAATTTTTATTTTTTTCTCTGTATTAACATTTCATTTTTAAATACAAATATTTGAAGCAGATAACCAAGCTACAGTAAGTTAAACAACTGAATTTTGTGGTCACTTCTAACCCCTTTGTTCCAAAATCTCATCAGTCAGCCCTAAAGAAACCTTAGAAAGTCAGAAACAAGCATGTTTGGCATAAAAGCTCATCACATTTTAGTCACAGATCGCTGCAGTTTTGCTTCTGTTCAGCTGTGTCCAAATTCAATATGTATTAGCTGTTGGTTCAGCTCTTGTAAACTCAAGAATGCAGTTGTTGTGTGCTGGAGGGGGGGGGTGTTCACCCCCATTTTGCCCTTCCCCACCTTTTCTCCACAGTCTGAAACGGAGCTGGGAGAGCAAACTAAGTATGTTAACAGCAGTCACATTGTCAAAATGAGCTTTACCAGAGCCATTCCAAATTCCCTAAGGTAGTTCTGTTCTTAAACTTCACTTTAATGATTTACAATTTACTTTTTACAGATCTGGAATTGCCCTTTACAAGCAATACACAGCTTTCTGTGGTTGTACAGACCAGCACAACCGAGAGTACAGTTCTAAAGCATCTCTAATAACACTCAAAAATAATAAAACTATATAGATGCAAGAAAGCTGTTAGCTATCTAGCAGAAAAGCACTTGCTGTCTGAAGCATAAACTTAACATTCATAAGTGTTTTCATTCATAAAAAACTTACGTGTTTCTGCTAGACAAAGCTTCAACAAACATAATCCAAAAGTTGCCCATAAGGAGAAGTTGGCCATTGTTTTCTTGGAAGTGTTTTGCAAAATCCAAAGATCCTTGCAAGCTGCAGGAAGAAGAAAAGCCCCGACGCTTGTTAAGCCCGCAGTCAATGAGTCTGAAGTTTGCTGCACTTTTTATTCTGATTCAAAGGAACTGAAGTAATGACATAACTGGGAGGGGGAGCTCCATCAAAAGTCACACCCATATTGCAACAAAAGTTACCCAGCAGTAGGAGAAGGCGGGGAGGGGGGGGGGGGATGTGGGAGGGGAACCAGTACTGACTAAGCAGCCACACTTGAGTTTTAAAGAGGCACTAAACCTCTTCTGCTCACACAAGTACAGTCAAAAATTATACTTATTGTAGTTGCAGGAAAAATTGTGTAATCTCTCCTGAGTTAGCTCAAAAATGCACTGTTTGTTTTAAACATCATTTTAAAATCCCTTCATTATTGCAAAAAAAGCATTAGAGATTCTGTACTCCAGCAAAGCATCTATAATAACCTAGACCTTTCCCAAAAATATTTTGCTTATTTAGTCCCACCTCACCATTTTCTTCTTTTTTTTTTTTTTTTCAGGTCAATTTAGACCAAGTAAAATGCCTGCTCTACAATGAAGCTTTCTGCAATATTTTTGCTCATTGCCAGAGGATAAACTCATGCAGAAGGTAAGTTAAGGCAGTTCAGTCTCCCACAGCACGTCCCACAGGCTTCTCTTCACAGGCTGCTCCAGCAAGAGTAGTAAATAATGCCAGTGCCAGCAGTGATACTGAGGATTAAGGTCGATATTTTATTGTACTGATGGGATGAGGCATAGAAGGAATTATTCCTTGTATTCCCAATTCACAAAGCAGAGAAATAGGATGAAAAGGTATGACATCTTTGATGTTCAGACAAGGTCTCAGTTCCCAAGGGACAGATGTTCATTGTAGTGTGGGGTTTTGCATGACTCTAGATGCCACATGAAGTCCCTCATGAAAACCCCAAGGCCTCTGCAGATAACCAAAAGGGGTGTCTGTTGTGTGCCTTAATGATTTCCAGTGATGTCTCCATGCGCTGGCCCCTCCTCAGAGCTGCAGAACGGCAACAGTGGTTTGTGTGCCGCGGAATGAGGGGTTCGTCAGGGATCACCAAAGCCAGCACATCTCACCTTTAACAACCAACATGTGGCAATGACTGACAGCCAGTAATGCTCTGATTTCTGTTTCACTTGCCAAACTTGGAATGAATACTCCTATATCAGATTAACATTTTGTCGATCTTCCCACTTGAAAGAATTTTCTCATTAATTTTTAATCTCTGTGAACACAAACAATGGAAAAATACAGATAGGTCTTTCCAGCCACAGGCATAAGAAGTTCACATAAAGAAGTTTTCAGGACTTTGCCTTTTCTTTGACTTTTGACTTAGAGATGGCTGGCTATCCTTTCCTCAACCAGCCAAATTTTTACAACAGGTTCCAACAGGCTTTTCCTACAGTTCTAGAATATCTGACAGGACAAAGTTAAAGTGAAAAATCTTTCCTTAAAACACAGGGGAATCTTTTCATTAAGAAGCCAGCAACTTTGAAATTACAGATAAAAACCATTTTCTTTAGTTAAAATACTAGTCTTTCTTTTGAAAGAAATGGCTTCAAAAGCAACTAAAAAGCAATCTCCTATATACCTTAGTGTTTATATTAGTTGAAAGAAAAATATTTCTATGAATTCCTGTACATTTATATCTATAAATGTTTTGGCATGAAAATACATGAATGAAGTTTAGTGGAACTTCAAATGCTGGTGCACAGTTAATAAATGGATGAAACAGAAGAACTGAATATTTAATTAAAATTCAGATAATTTTGAGTCTTATTTTTGATGAATGTAAATTACCTCTCTGTTAATGTCCTTTATCCATAATTATAGAGAATTAAAAAAATGAAACATAGTCAGTACTTCTGCACGTGTTTGACAGACGTGAATGGCATTCCACTTTGGAAAGACTCTGTCTTGTTTGTTGCCCTATAAAACTGGGCTGAGATTAGATGCATTTAGAAAAGGTGCATGAAGGTGCTTAGTACCCAATGCAAAAGGAAAAGACAGATGTATACAAGAAAAATAATTGATCACAGTGTGTCATTTCATGCGACAAATCACAAAAATAGTAATGAGCTGTATCTATACAACGTAAGTTTTTCCATTTCACATTCCATCTGCCTGCTTTCACATCAACCTAAGACACACATCTGCATTCCAACAAAAAAGTGACAAAAAATACTTCCTTCTTTCCCACCCAAACATGGTCAACAGATGTTGGTCTGAGGTAGACAGCAGATCAAATTTAGCCTGGCTGTAGGGCCTAATGCTACCAAGAAAATTTAGTCAAAGGAGATGTACCACTCTGGAAAAGTGTTTTTGGGGTTTTGATTGTTTGTTTCTTTGTTTGGCTTGGTTTGGTTTGGGGGATTTCTTTGTGAGAAATATATAACTTTTCTTTTAGTTTGTGATAATCTTAATACATAGGAACAGAAAACTCTAAAGCAAATCCACAGCTGAAGAAATGCAGTAGAGCATAATTTTAAGTGAGCCTGTTAATACAGTTAAATATTTGAGCTTTAGGAACTTGCTTACTCCCTTTGTAACAAGCAGCTAAAATAGTGACACCAAAAATTTGTAAAATAATTAATGGTACCAAACGAATTAAGTTTTCAGAAGAGAATGAAATAATAAAACTAAAAAGGATAATCCCCCACCATTTTAAAAAATGTATTTCTGTGATGCCTTTGACACATTGAATACTGAATCTATGATGGTACAATATAGTACAGCAACACCAAAATAACTCATCTGTGATTTTATCACATATGTGAGCTGTAGTCAGCACTAATTAATTTTGATAAAAATCTTATTAGGGAGTACGTGTGTTGCAGCCCTAGAAAAGGAACATACATGGCTTACAGTGATATAAAAAGATATTTTTGTGAGAATTCCCATAGAGGAGGAAAGTTTGGCCTGGCTGAACTGAAAGACCAAAATTCCACTGAACTCAGTGGGGCAGCCTCTCCCTGTAACATATATCTGAATTTTATTATGTGGACAGACAAGACAATGAATGTATCTGAATGAATCTGTAGTTATGATGGAAAGAAAGGTAGCAATGGAGATTGATTTCACTATCAAATAGGAACAATTGAAAGAAGGCTAGAATGGAATTCTGTTTCTGTGAACATAAATGGCATTTCTCTTATGAAAACCAGAAATTTATGAAAAAGGAAGCTCATAATTTGAAATATTTTTTCTATTATTAGCAGAAATACTTTTTTTTTCAATTAAAAAACAGTTTTCTGAACGTATTTTGGTAGACATTTCAATCCTGTTATGGGGAGTTGAAGAGCATAGTCTTGGTGAATATAAAAAGCACAGATCTCTTTAGGTAATTCTGGTCATGGCTGTGTATATTTTGCATAGACTACAGGTGATCTGTAAGACTGGCTGAAAATCAGATTTGGGGGAGCAGGGAGGATTTTATACCCACTTATCTGTAATATCAATAAAATATGTTATTTCTAATAAGATTTCCTCCTTGTCCCTAGACTGCAATCTCGTTTCCTGCATTTCAGACTCGATTCAATTTCAGACTAGATTTAATTTTCATTATCAATCCTGAAAACAGGTTTTGTAATGGAAACGGTTGTAAAGGCTTCAGTGTGGTAAACTTTGTACTGCACACTTTTCTCGGGCTCTGAGAGCTGATGGGAAGGCGTAAGAAGAGCCTGTGCCGGTTTAAGCAAGAAAAGCTGCTCTTTTGGCTGGAGGGCAAAGCACTCCTTTGGGAAGCTGAGAGCCCGGTTCTACTCCCATCAACCTTTTGTTCCTAGATGTAATTTACAGCCTGTGTCCTGCAGAGAGTTAGGAAGATGAACAATGGTTCCTACTTGTTTACTTCTAAAAAAGGCAGCAACCCAGATTGGCACCTACCGTGTGGATTCATCAGCCTGTTTTACTGGTTTGCCCCAGATCCCTAAACAACTCACTAATCCAACACAGGCGAAAATTAACAGCCAGAATCTCTCAAGTAGGCTCTAAGAAACACTTTGCAGCAAGGTTTCTCCTATGGCAGACCTTGTGGCCCCATCAGCTTTCTTGCTCCTAGCACTACCCTAATGCACGTAGTCCCTGGCTGACCCACATCTCCCAGCAGTGCACAGGCAAAAAATCACAGTGCCAGTTCCCACTGGCAACTTTAACACCACTATACCCAGTTAGTTACTACGTTGTTGTTGGAGACTGAGCAGGAAACCTGCACACAGCAGCTGCCACCAGCTGTCCAAGCGTGCAGCAGAGACATACAGGATGCATTAGTGACATTTGAGTCATAAGCAGCTGTGTAGAGGGCTGGGGGTGGGGGGAATACAGGGGAAACTGAGGGGAGAAGGGAAGACATGTTCTCTATAGGTGGCTTCTGTCTGTCTCCACCCCTCCTTCCCCCTGGTAGGCCTTCCCAGCACATACCATGCAATAAGACCCTGGAACTGATATATCTGACCATGAGCTGCCATCTTTGTGCTAAGCATTCTCTATTCCCACTTTCATTTCTTTCGTTTGCAATTACACAGTAGGTAAATCAAGCTTATCCTAAGCCATCTCTGGGATATACTTTTCTCTCCTCCCTCACTATCCTTCCCACTGTCTTTCCATTTTCTTCCTTTTGATTTTGCTTCTTGATGTCTACTTTGACTTCTCTCTCCAGTCATTTCTCCTTTTTCTTAGCCCCTATCCTTTCTTATCCACTCGCCCTTCTATGCAATGTATTGGAATTATTAAATAAAACATTTAAAACCCCAGAAGAGCAGGTGAGCTTTTCAAAATACAAACATTCATGCAACTCAGGAAACACTTCCTATTTGCATAACCAAACAGTTAATTGTAACCTACAGATAAATACTTAGGGGCTCTTATGCCTAATATGGACCTTCCTGGAACTATTCAAAGTCAAAGGAGGTTTTCTACTGATTTTGAGGAATTTTGAATGAAGCTAGCTGTAAACAGTGTTTGGTTGAGTCCCAGCATCTATATTATGATAACTCTGCATACTGCGTTACGTATTTCCCCTGTATATATATATAATCTGAAGATAGAGGGATTACATCAGATTTATAGGCACTGATAAAATATTTTCCTTTCTAAAGAAAGTAACCCCC